TGACCATTCTCCTCTGACCTCTATCATCAACAAGGCAGATGTCCCCACAAAACTGCTGCTCACTGGATATTTTCTCTTTTTCGGACCATTCTCTGTTAACCCTAGAGATGGTTATGTCTGAAAATCCCAGTAGATCAGCAGGTTCTAAAATACTCAGACCAGCCCCTCTGGCACCAACAACCATGCCACGTTCAAAGTCGTTTAAATCACCTTTCTTCCCCATTCAGATGCTCGGCTTGAACTGCAGCAGATCGTCTTGACCATGTCAACATGCCTAAATACATTAAGTTGATGCCATGTGATTGGCTGATAAAAAAATTGTGTTAACAACAAGTAGTTGGACAAGTGCACCTAATTAAGTGGCCGGTGAGTGTATATTCATTTGTTCACTTAAAGCCTTAAATGCCACATGAAGTCAGAAAAACTACTTTTCAAACTCCAGATACATACATAATACAATACTCATAATCTCTTTGAAATCTCAGCACAGAGTCTTACCATAGTGATGTCCTGGACGCAGGGAGGCGTCAGCAGATGTTACACAGCTAAGTGAAGCCTTGCTGGGGCTTGGCGTGGCCGCAGGTCCCCCTTGCAGCTCTGATCTAGTGTTCTGCAGGAGAGAGAGAGCGGATCACTCACACACAGAGCACAAACCACCTGCTCTGACCCACTGTGCCAAACATTACCAGTGCTCAATGCCAGGACAGACTTATAGCAGTGTGCTCAAACAGCAATAGTCTTGCATAGAAGGATGCTATTGACTTTTGAATTCAATAATTTCCTAATATTCCTTAGGCTTAGTCCCTTATTTATCAGGGGTTGCCACAGCGGAATGAACTGCCAACTATTCTGGCATATGTTTTATGCAGGGATGCCCTTTCAGCCACAACCTAGTACTGGGAAACATCCATACAGTCTCACGCTCATACACTACGGCCATATTATTTAATCCAATTCACTTATAGCTCATGTCTTTGAACTTTGGGGGAAATCCACACTAACAAAGGGAGAACATGCAAACCCCACACAGAAATGACAACTGGTCCAGTCAGACTCAAACCAGCAACTTTCTTTTTGTGAGGCGACAGTGCTAACCACTTAGCCAGCCGACTTCTTGAATTCTTTTTTTTATTTAATTTTTAAACATACACTGATGTGTTATTACATGTTTGGATAAAATATATGTCATTAATAAACAAAATTTTTTTGAACATTATTTTTATATTTAGTAAAATAACCAAAAAACTAAAGAGTTAATAGATATTCCACTCACTGATTTCTTTTCACAGGTTTTTGAGTTTTAAAGGAATTCTCAGTTGTATTTTATTAAATAATTAATGTTGTCGCAGATGTTGACGCAATTCCTTAAAAGAAAAAATGACTAGTCAGATGTTGACCTAATTTACCAGAATGATGGTTACTCTGGATAACACACGCCTAATTTATTACATTTTAGCCATTTAAATATATATATTTTTTGTTATATTAATCTAGGATGTTGGTACTTTGGCAAGTCTGACAACAATTACAAAACGTCTGAAACTAAATCAGACAAATTGTTTCTCATATTATTTCTAGGCCAATGTTTGTTTGTTTTTAACATATAAAAACAGCCAAACACAATTTTTAAGAATGTTAATAACTTGTTAACATTTTCTAAACGAATGTACACTTTGTCTCATTACCGTGCTGACAGTAGGTTGTGCTTATGCGTTTGTTTAGGTAAACAAACCACTAAAGCAATACAATGCATACGAATCAGCTGCAAAGTTCACTGACATCTTCACGAACACTGTCTGCAAATAATTAAACAGTTATAACAAAAGCAAACATAGTTAAACAACGTCTGTAATACTTTAACAACAACTTGTAACTATGTCAGTGGCATATAAATAATTAACAATTGCCTCATTCGGATGTGTTTGAATGTAGCTTGGTTGCTAAATATTACAAAAATCCCCGTTATACTGTTGGAAGCGATGATGCAACTTACCACATTCAAGGTGAAACACAATTAACCTTGTACTTCCATCTCTGGCATTAAACACAACAAAGGTTTTTACGCATTGCAGTGTTTTCGCTGTTTTTGTACTTTTGGGGGGGCTTCAGCCCCTCTGTGGCCACTGATACTCCAACATATCTTGAATCCGCAAACACATCTGGGCACGTAGGTATATAAAACTACAAAGACCAAGGACCACATTTCCACGAACGAGTCCATGAAGGGATTTGTAGTTTTTATATTAAACAAGACCCATTAGTCACAACGCAAGCAGAGCCACTCCGAAACTACATTTCCCAAAACTCCAACAAACCCGGAATTCAAGTTCCCGTAGTCCTGGCCGTATGTACAGCCTGTTTCCTGCAGCAGAGGAGAAGGAGGTGGTGTCGAGAGACTGGCAAGATTCAACAACATCGCAACCTCAACCAACACCACTATACAATGAAATTATCATCAATAATACCCGTTCCCGAACTGCACTACTTCACCCTCCTGCTGGTATGTGGCTGAAAAATCGCGCGCTCTTTCAGTAACACACTTCTCGCAGGTTCACTTGTAATTGCTAACTCATATAACGCTAGCAATTTAAGAGGGTTAATGCACTTGGATGTGATGCTCTTGATTAGCATCGTTATTTCACAGGAAGGTCTACTTATTTGGAGCAACGGACGACCGTAACTGTCACTTCTGAATGTCCCCGTAGATTTAATGGCCTGTGCTGAATGTAGGTTAGCCACAGAAAGTGCAAGAGATCTGGCTAATGTGGCTAACCAGCTATTAGAGTTGTAGTCATGATGCAGCTCAAAGTATGGGACGTTTAGAGAGTTTATAGGCGGTGGGAGAACTATTCAGATTTAATGCAAAGCCACATTTGGATATAATCATGCCAACGGACATTGTGATTTTTAGTGTTTGCAATCAAACTGTGAGCCACCAAATCATACAAACTTTAATCTTTAAGACTTTTTAATACAACTTCAAAGGGCCAGGATAACGTTATGTTTGGCCCTAATTTATATAATAACAACGAAGGTATTGTTATGTATGAATAAGAAAACAGTCAACAGTCAAGTGTTGGAATCATGTTGGATGTTTTACATGTTAAATGCAACTTGTTTATATTGCGAACAAGTGATTGTAGGGCTGACATGTATGCTTCTCATTCATAGCTGCAAAGTTGCGCAGAAAGAGCCTATTTAAAACAGAAAGTCCTTTAACAAGCGAATGAAGCGCTTGAAATAATTTTTTACAATAGAAGACAAACAGTATCCAGCTGTCAGCTGTGATCTTTATAGTCCTAGAGTAAAGAGAGGGATATTTGTAGATTCATTTCTTCCGACTTCACAGTGAAGGAACCGGTTGGTGAACTGTTCTGTTGTGGCTGAATCCTATTGGCTGTCAACGCGGAAATGACTCGTTCCGCTCAGTTCAGCTGAACATGATGTGAAAGCCACAGCAGCGGTGGGCTTTGCTGCAAATGTGACACTTTTTAACCAGCTTTCAGTTGCTCTTTGCTTATATTTTGTTAGCATATGCTCTTAAATATTGTATTTCTCTTTTGAGACATGAATATTGTCCTATAGCAGTGTGGTGACTGACTATTGACATTTAGGGGGTTAGCTTAGTTTAATAGTTTTTAATGAGCATTTTAGTATGAGTTTAGTATGACTTAAAATACTTGTATCCAAACTCATTTGATGTCTTGGTTGTTTTGATGTCATAGTTTTGTGCACAGTTCATTCTTAAATACAGAAATATTAATGCAAACTCATTTTGTTGGATAAGAGTATATTACAGTGATAAGCAATATTGATTTCAAACAGTTTTTGTTAATATTTCAACACAACTTTGGTGACGTTATTTAAAGTCTTGTCTGTAGGGTTGTGAGGCACATTTGAGCCAGGGCTGCAGGATATTGGGAAGAAAACTGACATTGCAGTGTTTGGTTTTTCTGCTATACAATTATTTTGATAAGAATATATTTTCGCTAGATGTCTTGAATAGCTTCATTTGGAAAGACATAATCATTTTAGAGTAATTAGGATGATTTTGTAAGGCAGAGCATCTGTATTAAATATAATAAACACATTATTAGCATAGATAAATAGAATAAAGCGAGAAGAAACAATAATGCTTTATGGTTTTCCGGAAAGTCTTAACTGCATTCAGGTACAGAAAATGAATGATCAAATAAAATAAAATAATCAAATCAAAAAAATAAACAACACTGTGTAGTCTTCATTGTATAAATGATTGCAAATAATCTTTAAGGCTACAAACATTATTTCTTATACACAAATGATTTGAGTTTGTTTGCTATAGTCACAAGCCTTAATAACAAGCAAATGAAAACTTTTACTCTTAAATTTTACAATGACATTCCACAATGTTCTGAATTGTAGTTTCTGGTCAGTTATAATCCCAATTTGACATTGCAAATTCTGTGATGTGACAATTGAAGATTGAACATGCACTCATTGCGGCATTGATGCTGAAACAAATAGTTTCTTATTGATATATTGTGCAGCCCTTATCTGAGCATTAGTTGATGAGTGCGTTTTGAGATTGGGTGGCTTTAACCAGACTAACATATTTAAAGTCTTACATGTGTCAAGAGACATTGATCTTTATTTATTATTTCTGTAAAAATTTTTTTTTGATATTTAGATTGAACTGTGCAGGATCTTTTGATTATGAAACATTGATTGTCAGAGTATTATAAAATAATACATACATGAAGTGCTCACCCAAACAGTACATTTACTAAATGTAAAACTATTGTTTAGGGGATGTTCTTAGTCATTTGAGATTAAATTGGACATCTCATCCCTCACACTCAGCCTCCATTTTGAATTCTTAAACGTCATTTTACAGCCTTAAGCCATTGATATGAGGGTGATGGAGAGTTAAAGAATGTAAATTACTTGTGGGTTTCTCAACAGTGTTTGGTATCAGCATCTTATCTAATAGTGAAAGTGTAAGTTTAACTTATGAACAGTGCTGTGATTTTTCTTGTTACTGGGAAATATCTTGTAGTGTTCTAATTTTAAAACAAATTAACAAATGAAATATGCTTCAAATGATCATTCATAATATATTTAAATATGCACTTTAATGGCAAAACAAGATTACATAAAGAATACAGCCAAAATATCAAAACATAAAACCCTTAAACATTTTAAAGTATAAAGAAAAGCCATATATGCAATAATTGGCACATGTGAATGCTCCATGATTACACATTGTAGAGCATGCACTATCCAATCAGAATCAGGCATTCAGCAGCCTGTAGTTTAAAAACATTCATTAATTTTCTGGTCAGCTTAGTCCCCTTATTAATCCGGGGTCACCACAGCCAACTTATCCAGCGAGTTTTACGCAGCGGATGCCCTTTCAGCCGCAACCCATCTCTGGGAAACATACACACACACACACACACACACACACACACACACACACACACACACACATACAAACTACTGACAATTTAGCCTACCCAATTCACCAGTACTGCATGTCTTTGGACTGTGGGGGAAACCGGAGCAACCGGAGGTAACCCACGCGATCGCACAGAGAACATGCAAACTCCACACAGAAACGCGAACTGAGCAGAGGCTCGAACCAGCGACCTTCTTGCTGTGGGGCAACAGCACTACCCACTGCTTCAACCTAGTTTAAAAACATACACAAGTAAATGCTATTAAGAATAGTATATAACTATACGAATAATGGTAAAAAAATAATTGTTCCAATTCTGTTTGAATACCAGATTGCCAGATACATGATATTCCATCTGAAAAAAAATTGCCAGTCACAATTCACATAACCTGAGAGAGCAGATGGTATGAAATGCAGTGTTCATAATAAACAGATTGTTACACAGAGCATTCCAACAACATTTTTTTCCTATTGGTTGTTGTTTCAGAATATGCTATTTTGACTTGTAAATTCATGTTGCGTCATGGGAAAGTAATTTCAAGCTACGCGCTGCTTTCCAACCTGTCCTCACTTACCATCTTTATCTGTGTGATGTCATCAGAAGAACTAGCGACTAACTTTAAGAAATAAGAATGTAACTGTATAATTACCACAGAAGTTGTGAGCTTTGCTGTCTTAAAAATGAATAGAAGGGAAATAAATTGATATGCTATATTTTAAAATGCCCTAGATGCAACATTAGTTGTTACTAAAACAACTAAAATGAGTTGTTACTAAAAGGAAAATTTACAAGTCAATTCTAATCCAAATGCCCATTGTTAATTATGAATAATAGGAGTGGGACAGCTCACAAAATTGTCTGTTTGGTTTGTTTCATAATTCTGTGGTCACATTTTAGGTTTGAATTGGTTTACATTGTAAAAAAATCCGCTATTGTAACATTTAAATTAAATCACACATCAGCATAAAATACATAGCACTGTAATCTGCCGTTTACAGTATTTAAAAAAAAAAAAAAAAAAAACAGTTATTTGTGTGTGTGTGTGTGTGTGTATGTATGTATGTGTATGTATATATATATATATATATATATATATATATATATATATATACACACATCCACTTATCAAAGTTTTAATATTAGTCTTTTGTTGTCGATTAAAGAAAGCGCATTATGATTTATGACGAAAATAAAAATAAATTCTCCCATGAATTTATACTTTTACTTTAGACTCCGACATAGGCAACTGTTAAATATGGGTATTCTGACATTAGGCACATTAGGGTTGGGCGATGTCGACCAATTTGTACTATGTCTAATGTGAAACATCGCAATGGACGATGGCATCGTCTTCATAGGTGGAGGTGAATTAATTATTTCTGAATGATTAACTAATTCATAATAAATGAATTATTTGTAGCCTACCGTTTCAACTACCTGACCCGCATGGTCTTTGTTTTACCCATAAACAAATTATAAATAAATAAACATAACTTACACACACATGACTACCTGTCAATCCTTGTCAGTAAAAAAGACCAACCAACAGTATCTGAGGTTTTCACTAAAATTACTAAGTACAAGTGTGAAAGTAAAAGTCTAAAGCAGTGTACTGATGCTGTGACACGTTATCTGATAGATTCAAAACACAGAAGAGTCGTTAGAGACTAAATTAATTAAATATCACGTTTGTGAGATGCAATCCAGCAGTACATCCTTGATAAACTGTCCGACGTGCACTGCTCTTCTGGAGCTCAGACAGCGCATGACAGTGTGTGTGGCTGTGTCTGTCTGTGTGTGTGTGGTCACATGATGTGTGTTTTCAGCGGACAGAGGGATGTTCAGAAATGCTAGGTAAAACATGGTGTGGATGTGGATCATTTTTGTTCTAAAATGTTATTTTAATACTAAGACGTATTAGTGTAAACGTGGCCTAAGTGTGTATTTTTTGCAAGCAGTTTTGCTAGGTGCATGGCGGGGCGAAGGATCGGCATCGTGTTGTCTATTGGCCATCGGCGATGGACGATGGCATCATCTATCGGCCCAACCGTAATGCACA